GTATTCATAATGATGATGGATTAAAATTTGTTTTATTATATCAAAAATAAGCATAGTGAAGAAAGATGTAATAAATATCCAAGAAATACTGTGAGAAATGGACTTCTAAAAAACTGCAGTCTCAGAAGAGAAATTCAGAATAATCTATTACATGTAAGGAAAACAAGCAGCTCTGTGAATGAAGAATAACTTTGTAGTATAAAGCCACCAAACAAGATTGACCACAGTCCACAGTTGGAACTGCACTTTAGTTTTATGAAAGATTGCTGGCAGTGAAATGTGAGTCATAAGTTTATGAATGCCAAGAACATAGATTCATGTGGGACCTCCAGAAGGTCAGCTGACCAAACCCCTGCTTAAGTTGGGTTCAGTTAGATCAAGTTGCTGAAGGGCTTGTCTAGTCAAGTTTTGAAAGGTCCTTTTCTGGAAAGCTGCTTTACTGGTGTTTGGCCCCATCATGTACTGGTGAATGGCATTATTCCTTCCTTGGTGCTGCTACTGAATGCTGTGAGGTTCCTGTCAGCCCATTTCTTTAACCTGTCTATTTCCCTTTGAACGGCAGTCCTGCCTTCCAGCATACTGACCACTTTTTCCCAAGTTGATATTGTCCACTCACTTGCTGAGAGTACACGCATCCCTGTCATTCAGGTCATTAATTAAGACATTAAACCGTATTCAGCACTGTTTTTGATTCCTGAACAACTACTGTTAATTGGCTGCCAGTTGAATTTTCTGCTTATAATCATCAGACTTTGAGCATGGCTCACTGTCTGTTCTCCTTATCTTAACAACTTTGCTCGTGACTGAGTATTCAGCTAGTTCTAGGGTCAAGCAAACTTTCTTCACGTAGCACTTTGACGTACATTTAGGATATGATGGTATTTTATGTTCAGGCCAATAGTTGCTGTGTTTATTAATTTGCTAGTAGATAGACAAAGGCATTAGTGGACAAGCTGTACTGTACGAATGAATGCATCTGTTGGTTCGTCCCCAAGCAGTATTTGTCCTCATGTTATTAAAACTGTACCTTGTATAAACAATAACAAGCAGGCCAAATATTTACTTATTTCTCTGTTAATTCCGTATTACGCCTCTCCTCCCTTCCTTTGTTAAGTAAGGTAATTCCTACTGTTCAAGAGGACATTATGTTGCATTAAAAGGGGTAAGGGAGTCTGATAAGCTGCAAAAGGAGAGCCCTCCCGTTGAGTCACGAGGTTCAGAGCAGACCCCCTTACATTCGAAACTCTCTCAGAGAGGAGTTTAGGTGTGGCTGGATCTACTCCTAGTCCCAGACTTGATCAACGGTTTATGTCTAAAGGGTTAAGTATGTAGCCACTTATCAGATTTAACTTGCCTGTCAGAGCCCTTCCAAGGACTTTCACTGAAACAGTTTCGCAAAGTTGAAACAATAGGTAATTTTATTCAAGCGAGAGGTGTCACAGATTCGGAATTGACGTTGATAAATGCACCGTCTACAGAAGTTCTTAACAAAAAGTCATCCCTTCTTTGGGGGTTAAGAGACGTTCAGGCTTGTCAACCCGTCCGTCAGGTAAGATTCTTGCTTGGCTCCTCCTCCAAAAGAGAGTTTTCAAGTGCCAATTTTTATATGTTTTAAAATCTTTTGGCAAGGTGGGACCAAGTCAATTATTAAATGTCGATTGGCTCTTGGCATGAAATGTCACTTCGTCACAAGCAGGACTGGGCAGTTTGACACGCCTCTGGAGCAGGCATCTTGGTATGCACTCAGGGGGGTCATTTGTTCTTTATCTGAAGCAACCGCTGGCTGCTCGGCCTCTGCCGCACCCCACAGATCACTTGATTTACAGTGATGGGCTATCATGCCTGACTTTGTTCTGATAAGATAAGCGCAAGTTAATTGCTCCCTTTGTTAACTCTTTGGTTCTTGATGCCGAAGTGCAAGCATGTCTTTCATCTTACATTGACAAGTCCAGTAAGGCCATTGACTACACATTATAAACTACAAAAATAAGTCAAAATTATCAACAAATTTGATTAATGAATAAAATAAAGTGAATAAGGTCCTTGTTGGGTTGCATTAAATACTGCCATGCTTCTTTTTTGAGGGACTCAGACAGAGAAATTGCTTTTTGGAGAGTAAAACACAGCGTTATAGGTTGCCTGTAGGCTAATTGAAATGATAAGTAAATTGTTCTACGGATCAGTAAATTGTTTCTGAACTATACTGACAGATAAGCCATATAGTTTACTGAAAGACGAAGATCTCGTGTATGTATTTGAACATAGCTTACAACACAGAATCATAAATTCACAGTATACCCATCCCACACTATTTTTAATGTCCTATCAAAATGTATTCAATGCCCAAGGAAATATTCAATTGCGCGTTTAGTCAGTTCCTCTACTTTCCAGTAATAAAGTTTACAAAGATTTACTGTTTAGTAAGAACATTTGCTATTTCCACTGCTAGTCTAAACAAATGTCTACAATATGTTTTTCCTAACCTTCATGTTGCTGAATTTTATCGTCTTATGTGTTTGTTGTTTTTAGATAGTATTGTTTGTAATTATCTATTTGGCTCATATCTGTATGAGACATCTTCAGGCTGTCTCTGTGAAGCACTGGTTAAATACTCATTCGAAGACATTTTTGACCTTATGATCTAGGAGTTTTTGTTTTTTAGCAGTATTCCTTTCATTCTATTCACTTTTTGGAAACATTTCAGTTCTACAAATACTGAGAGATAATTAATAAGTGACTTCAAATATTTGTTTTCCTTGAAGTTTTAACATTTCAGAATGTTTGAAGCTGGTATCAGTGAAATTATTTTCTGAAGCAGATGGCAAACACTTGGGGTGTGATTATAAAGCAGAGTATAGTGCCATGTGGATATATTTGTACTAGCTTGACTACTTGGGAGTCTCTAATTAGTTCACCCTATCATACGGGCTATAACACTTCCAGTTCCTGAAGTGGTTTGATTATATAACAAATTCTTTGTAGCCTCTACAGAACATAGTCTTTATGGCCTCAACTTCTTCCTTTTTGGAACGCAGTAGTCAGAGCAAAAGTGTCAAAAGACCACATTGCACATTTATTTTAATAATAAGTGAATTCCAAAACGAATCTTATCCCATCACTACAATTCTATGTATGAAATAAAGCCACCAGCAATATGAAAGTGTCAGTTGACATCATCCATAAGCACGAAACATTGCAAAAGATTGCATGGCAGAGCATTTATTTGGAAATATGTGAAGTTAGCTTTTATATGCATATCAAAGAATTAGCTAGGCGTTTTAATTGAATCCAACACTAAACAGTTTTCCTCTTACATCAGTTTCGGTATTTTTTTTTTTACATGATGAATTATACTTTTTTTCGTGTTCTGCTGGACATTTCTTGTTTCCCTTGGGATTTCCCTAATGCATGATAACTTATTTTTTGTTTTCCTAGGAAATGTCTGTTTCTTTTTGGACTAAAAATGTCTAGTGCACTTGTCTATCCTTACACTGTGGTTTGTTTACTAGTATTACAAAAAAAAATCAAGACTAAATAGTTTTAGGAATCATTGTGCAAGGAATTAGACAAATTTGTAACATAATTGTCTATTTTCTAACAAGTGTCTAAAGTTAGTTCATTTTATTGTAGTGATAACATCCATTCCCGCTGCAATTCCAACTTCTGTAGATTCGTAATTTCTTCAGCACATCCAACAAATTGCACTTGCTGCCATAATGCAGGTTTAAATTTCACTTTTCTCTTTCTACATGCTTACCGACGGTAGGTCTGCAGTTACATTAGCTAGTTTAAACTCATCAAACTGTGACAACATGTTAGCTTTGATATGTAGTGTCTTCTGATCCACTCTCCTGCATCCTCAGTGTTGCACTGGTGAATTCACTATCGCAGAATTCTTAAGAGGAATGTAGAAGAAACTCTGCAGAGCTTCAGAAGATATATAATAACAGAAGTGGCCTTTTTGCTCTCTTTTCTGTGTTGATGGTTAGCCTGTCATGTGAACTGTGCAAGATGTTGGGGAAGGATTTGGATGGGGGGTCATTTGAGGGTTTTTTTGTTGTGTGCACACCTTCTCTTGAATGTGTATTCATTCTCCTTTTCAGTGATGGTAGATTTCAGTCTCCCTGCTGTGTTACACTAGCATTATTGAAGAAAATTTCTTTGAGCTGTCTTTCTGGACTGGTTTCAGATGGAAATTGAGTTTTATGTAATCACAGTGTGTCTGTTTGTGACTTTTTTCTCTTAGTAGCACCTTCCTGTCCCCCAGACCACTTTGTACCTGTTAGGAGATTTAATCTAACAGGACAGAGACCATTAAGAAAATAATTTTTCAGAAAAATATTTCATTTTCTAATGATTAACTTAACAGCTTATAATAACATAGTTATTATGGATGTTTTTTTATGGGCACAATTGTGTAATACTTTCATGTACCCGTTATATTCATTTTCCTGTACCTTTTGGCAATAAAACCACTACAAAACAGTAATAGTAAAATATTAAGATTTTTTACATTTTTGTGTAGGAAAAAATCTGTGTTTATTGAAAGTTGCAAAATGTTGATTCAATGTTGCAAAACTGATTGGATTTCAGAAAAACAAGTAATGAATATAACTTACAAAGATTCTCCAGTTCAAAAGTACTCATTTGGCTACTCATTTGATGGTAAGTTGATGAAGATTAATATATTTTGGTTATGGTGTGAAGTAAGCTTCAGAGTTAATTTCTGTGTTATGTGTTTAAGGACAAAAATAACTGTGAAAACCAAAAACTTGCATTAGGTGCTTTGGATTTTGAAAGGGGAATGAAGGCATCATAAATAAAATACAATTCTCTTTTGAATTCTTTCAGGAATCTAAATAAGTTCATAGGTTTATTTGTCAGTTTTCATACGAAATACTCTTCTCTTTACTCAGAAGCATATCAAGCACATAGCAGTTCTCTAATTCAGTTTGGCTAGAAAATGTCCAAGCTATTGTGATTTTTTTTTCCCCCCTCAGAACATTATCAGCTATATGTTCCTGAATCAGCTCAAGTTGGATCAGCAGTTGGCAAAATCAAAGCAAACGATGCAGACACTGGTTCAAATGCAGACATGAAGTACACAATTATAAATGGTGATGGCTCTGGGGTGTTCTCCATATCTACTGACAAAGAAACAAGGGAAGGAATTCTTTCCCTGAAGAAGGTAAGCAATAGACTTTGAAAGTCCCTGTGTATGCAATTAAAATATAATAGTGAATGCTGAATAAGGAGATACTGTGATGAAAATATTTTACTGTGTAAACCTATTGAACTATGAACCTCAACAGTGTAAGCTTCACGTTGCTTCCTGAGACTCTTTAAATCTTTGCAGGAAAGGCAGGGAGAAAAGAAATTCAAGAAAATAAACAGTTATTTAAAACTTCTGTGCTTTTTGAATGGTCATATCTAATATTTATAATAAACTATACCTTATTGAATTTTTGATTAATTTTTCCGAACAATGTTTTGGACAAGAAGTTTCTTTGGAAGAAGTAAAGTTTGGCTGAAAGTTGTACTGCTGTCCCTAGACTGCATAAATTTTTGACATAGAAAGTTTATCTGTGGCAATGAATGTGTAATTCAGTTTTGATGGACTGTTATTATTTGACTTTCTTGACAGCTGGTATCTAAAGGGTCAAATATTGTGTACTGTGTAATGTAAATACCGACTTGTTTATAAAGATTCGTAATGTAACTAGTCAAGCCATCACACAGTTATGATTTATATGAATTTCCTATATTTATCCCAGTCTATTTAAACTCTTAATTATAAAGTGTTCTTTCCATTTAATTTCATTTTTAACTAACTTCCATAAGCAAGTCTATTTCCATAGATAATTTCATCTCCATATTAAGTCCTCTGAACTGAGTTCATAGTGAAACTTTCCTGAAGTGTCTGCCAACTTATACTAATATTCTATGGCTAGATTTAAATTTACACTAATAATAACCTAGAGAGATGGGTTACTATGTTTAAGTAACATTTTTTAACAAAAACTTTCCCACAAACGGAAATAATTTCTTGATTTCAGTTTTCACTTGGACTAACAGACATCAATCAGTAATTCTCATGTGGATTTGTTGTTATTGAGTAGGCATCAATTCTATCCATACAGCCTTAAAAATCAAAATGAATTTCTATTCATATTTAGTGATATGTATTCTGGGCCTTCTTAACAGTAGGAGGAATGAAGACAAGAGAAAATGTGGGAGAAGAGAATAAATAAAACTATTATAAAGAATGGGGGGGTGGAGGTTGTATCTGAATAGATATGCATATATGTACATTTTTATTGAACATCTTTAAAAGATTTTGTAACTGGAGGAAATGTTATTTTTGTAATTCATAATGATTTAAAAAGGGTTCCTGTCTCTCCAAGTACCTTAAAAAGCTTTTATTCAGTGTCTTATAAGGGTTGTGTAATACCTATCTCTTTCCACCACATAAAAGTAAACTCTTCATTATTTATTATACCACTTATTTCCTGGTGGTCTTGTTGTAGCGAATGCCATAATCTGTTATTTCTTCTTCAAAGTGAACATTGTTCTCTGTTTAGAAGTTCGCTATTGCTCATTAAACGTAGCATTTATGCATATTGAGAACATGAAGCAGAAGGGAAGAATTTTCAAAAAAATGAATGAGTCCATACATAAAACATGTAAAATCAGATTTCCTACTGCATTTGGCAGACAAAATAGCTTCAGAGAAATTTTCACTATGTTTTAGAATGTGACAAAAGCATATGTTGCCTGTTCTTACACATACACATGACAGTGATTTGGGTAATTTTCCCATCAAGACAAGAAGGGGTACATTTTGCTTAGGCAATGTTATAATTCAGTTGAGCAGAAATTCAGCACTTAAAGCTACATAAATTGGTGAAGTTATAACATCCCCTTGTACAGTACAAAGAGGTAATCTCATTTTTTTTTTTTACTCTGATCTTATATGCAGTTTAATAGGTATTTTATGCAGTGTGTTGTACTTCTAATTTAGATTGTGTTTGAAACGGAATTAATTTAATATCATACCCAAAACAGATAATCTCCACTAAGAACAGAATCAGTTTTGTTTCATATATCAGATGCCAGTATCTTCTGTAACAGTAGAATAGAATGATTTGTCCTCTTTCTAATACTTCTCTGGAAGAATATATGGTAGGCACATCAGAAAAGCCAGAAGTATATTCTTGTGTCTGAAACCTGAAGTCCTCCTCAAACCTTTTGAAACTTCACTTGTTTGAGGTGCTGATCCAAAAATTAAATTTCTCAGTGCCTCCATGCTAGGCTGATCAACAGGCATGCAAAGTCTGTGAGTGTTTGAAGGAATGTATTCTAGTCTTATTCTGGGCTGACCCAGAAAGTTTGGTACTTTGCTCATCTCCCCTACATACAAGCCCTGCAGAGCCATCCTTCAGTCTTAAAGGTCCTGATACACAGGATCGACTGCAAACTGTCATAAAGAATTTCCTCTTTGCCTCATGCAATTGCTTGTTTGAGTGGGAGACGAGAGGCAACCAAAAAATAGCACAGTGAAAGCCTTTACTCTTTGCATCCTTCAGAGAATGGCTGGTCAGCACATTCCCCCACCTTGTTGTGACTTTCAGAGAAGTATACTAGAACTTTCCTGACCTCAAGTTCACAAGTATTATTCAAGCTTCGCAGAAAAAAATGGTCTGGACAGCCAGTGTCTCATTTTGTGCAAGGAGACTGGAAATATTCAGGAAGTAGCTATTTACTTCTCGTGAAATTCTGCTGTTCTTTTTGAGAGTCTGATATTAGAAACACTAACTGCACTACAATGAACAGCAGTATCTTCCCGTTAGCCTTGTGCCTGGTCACTTGAGCTACATTTAGTATTTTCAGTTTTGCATGAAAATCAGAATAACCGATGAATACATAGCAAAAATATATGGATAATGGCCGTGGAAAAGCACTGGACTTTGGGAAAATAAGAAACATGAACAAGGATTCTGCTTTGGTCCATCTAAAATGTTAAAGTTTTGTTTTCTTTCCAGGAAAGGGTCAATGACCTTCAGTGTTGGGGCAACTTTAAGTAAATCTGGAAATGATCATCTAGAGTTCTAGAGAGACAGGACAGTGCTGCCTCTCTTGCCTTGTAGCTACAACTAACGACTGAGATACGTGACTGATACTCAAGGCCTGTCTGTGAGTTAAATGAGGGAGAATTTAAACTTAAGTTTTACACATTACAAGTGAACATCTTTACAAGTCATTTGAGTACTTGCTTCTCTTGGAGGTAGCAAGGGGTCAGAAAGGACAGAGCCACGTCTTTCTGTTTGTCTCTTTGGAGTTAAATGAGTCCTATTGTGAATCTGATAGGATAGTTGAAATAATTCCTTTGTAAATATAAATTACTTTGCATTATCATTTTTATGCCCAAACTCTTGATGAATTAGAATAGCTTAGGTATTTTAAGCTGAATGTTATGATTAATAAATTATATTAAAAAATGATGGGAATAAAAACCTCCTACTGGTAAACAGCTCAGACTACTTGAAATAATGGATGAGTCTATAAGCAAATTTGTTAGCACAACATTAGACAGGCTATAAATGGGGGCCCAATTTGGTCTTCAAATGTAAGATAAAATTTGCTTTTAATACATACACAGAGTTTAAGCAGAAGCCTAACAAAATACTGTTCTGTAGATTCAAATCACAACCAGATTTCATTGTTTTACTGTTTTATCAAAAGTAAAAACGATGCAACAATTAGACTTGTGAGTTTTTTAAAGATGTGGAGTATCACAGGGCATGTTTTGCTTGTTACTTTTCTTACTTCTCAGAGGACAACAAGGAAAATAAAAAAAAATTTTGTGACCTCTGGTAATTTTAATCCTTGATACAGTATGTCTCTTTGCTGTCTAAAATAGCTCAGCGTTGAAAATATAGGGTTTTTTTTGCCTCTTTGAATCACAGTGCAGGAGAGTAAGCTCTTTTATGTCCCAGTATCTGATTCTTTAACTCAAAGACGTTATGGAAAGAAGAAGAAAGAAAATGAAAGTAAAAAACTGCTTTGACTATGGTTGAAAAGTCAGCTATTTTTGGTTATCTGAATGGATTATTCTTGTATTTCTAGACAAAACGAAATGTTGGTATTGTCAGATTGAATAACTACACAAAAGAAAGAAAACAAGACTTTAGACTTTGTATTATTCCTTTTTTTCTAGGGGAAATTTATCTTCCTATACAAACTAATCCAATCATTGTTGTCTAAACTTCATTTAATTTTTGAAAAAGGCATCATAGTTACAATTTGCAATTGTATTGCAAAGTTTTTTAATTTTAGAATATATATGCTGCAGAACAATGCAAATTACTATTTAATATTTCCCTGCTCGTAACAGAAATACAGCATAAATTAATGAACATCTGACTTAGAATTCATAAACATATTTCTTTATGAATTGATTTCATTTGAGTAGTATACTTAGCTCTTTTTTTTATAGTAATGGATTTATCAGGCTATGGTAAATTTCCATGCCTTTAAAATTTTTATTTATACATCCAGCAAAAGGAGAGAGACAAAGCAAAAGACAAAAAAGTCTCATAATATTGCAATTAAGAGAATGAATTAGTTGTCCTTCAATACACAGAGGAGAAATCAAAGGAATATGCAGTGTATATAAATCCTGACCAACTATTTTTCTTATACATCATGAGTCAAATTTACTGTAGAATTTATCTACAAAATACAAGCTGACATTGACAAATCATACATTGAATGTCTCATATTTCTTGCCTTAAGTACTATTCCACTCTTTGGGGTGATAGGAAATATCAGTTTAGCCTTCATCAAAGGCTAGAATACTTATACTGAGTTCTGCTCAGGCAGGCTGTCAGGTCTGCACAGAACAATACTGATCATAGTGGACCAGTGATCTGCCATGCCACAATATCATAATAATTTCTATTGTAAAAAAAAAAAATCCATGTGCATGCAACTTCTTTTAGTGTCATGCCTATGTTCTGACACTGTTGGAAACTTAATGGTAGTATATACCTCTGTACAAACTACCTGCTTTGCTCAGTGTAATAATAAATATTAATCTACCTATTCTCCTCTATAAATTGACTGAAGCCAGAAATTTGTAACTCAGTAAATAATGAGCTGTCTATTGTTAAGAAAGACTGATCTTGCTCTATATAGAAACACATTTCAAAAATTGCAGTCTGAAACTTTGAAATCTGTTCTGTGACCGCATGGTCTGGCATATTTTCATGAAACAGATAAATGACCACTCCACATGCTTTATATCCTCTTGGGTTTACTTGTTTCCCAGAAACTTGCCTAACTTTATGTGAGTGCAAGCAGATAAAGATAAAAGTTTAAAAAAATTACAACAGGGGTTCTCCTCAATACTTCTATGTTTAAACAGCTTCAGTCCTAGTGCCTCATTATGTGGTAGTTGTGTTAGGTTTTTCTCCCATTTGCTTTGTCATCATCATTGCAGTCAGTCCCTACAGTCAGTATAGCACAATTCTGGACTGAGGGACTGGCTCAGACTCTACCTGAAAAGTAGGCACATGCCAAGATTTCAGGAGAGTTCAGAAAAGACTGACTGTTTTCACTTATACATTTATTTATCGCTGCAAAATCAAGAAAAAGGTAGTTACTCAGACCATAAACTGGGATAAATAGGGGGTTTGCAGCTCAGCAAATAGTACTTATTGCCATAGATTATGAGTTTTGAGATCAGTTTCTTAAGATGTTTAACACATCTAAACTGAATTGGTATTTTTAAAGCCATTTTTTAAATCCATTTTCAAATGGCTTTAGTTTTTTAAAGCCAACTAGCACACCATATATAGAAAAAATAACTTCTCACATGAAATTCTCAGTGGGCTGTCTATGAAAAGTAGTCAGTTACTTTAGTGAGACTGAAGAAACCAACCCAAAATAGTTGTGGTCTTGTAAACACAGCTTGCAGTAAAAACACTGCTTAATTCTACATCTGCTAATGGAACTTCATTACTTGAGTTCTTTTAAGTTAAGTACCCTTTTAATCCCCTCTGCTACATAACTATCTTACACTGGAAGAGCTGAGAGTTGATAGTGTTATGCTTAACTTATATCTTGCATAAGACAGTGTAATAGCAAGGTAATGTAGGGTTAAAATAAATATATGAAGTCAGTAAAAGTAGTTCACAATAATCTGAAAACCAGCTGAACTAGGGAGATGAAATTTTCACATGTCTAAATAGCTAGCTAGAAATGGGAGTCCTAAGAGAGAAAGTATTTATGCTGCGTGATATACAAATCGGATCCCTAGCTTCTTCCTTCCTAGTAGAGTAGTAGGATCCCTAGTAGGAATCTACTGGTTTAAATAACAGGGCAATGTTCAAGTGACAGTGGCCCTTCTGGTGGATGGTACAGCTGGGGAATATTAGTCCCTGTAGAAGGCATATCCCCAGCTGCAATATTTCTTCCCGTTTATAACTGAATAATCCATGTGCAGCGCAGAAGTACGTGATGAGACAGGCTGAAGAGTTGTCTCTCTCATTGTTGCTGGTGAAGAATTGAAAAGAAAATGGTACAGAATATAGAGATGCAACTTTTCTGATCAAAAAAGCACACAAGCACATTTAGGCTATTCTTACACATTTAAGTTCCTGTCTTTTATGATAACAGTGTTTTCCTGCAAGGAGTTACTTTTTTGCTGTTGAGGATTTAAGAGAAGAGATGCCCAAAAGAATTTTAGTATCACTATCACTGTCTATTAAATGTGCTAATTAAAGACATGCAACTAATTTAATTTGGGATACATCAGTTTCTACCCTTTTCAGTATTTAGCACTGACCAATACAAACCAAAGGCAATAAAATTCAGTAAATTTACATTACCATGGAAGAGGAATCTGATGCTCATCCTAAACCCTGAGTTTTTCCAAAACTGGTACCTTGCCCACAATTCTGTTGTAGAGAAAACCCGAATCCATCCTGCTTCATGTATATTCTTCTACTTACAAGGTATGGCAGTGGCTGCCAGAACACCACAGAATGGTGTCCCTTTCCAGTAACATGAAGAAATGTGGTTTAAGTTAAATGGAAAATATGTAGTTAGCTTGCTAGCAAGCTAAACTGAAGTGCAGAATGGTATTGATAATTTTTTTTTTTTTGCCAACAGCCCCTCAACTATGAAAAAAAGAAATCATATACACTTAATATAGAAGGAGCAAATACTCACCTTGATTTCCGCTTTTCACACTTGGGACCATTCAAAGATGTAACAATGTTGAAGATCATTGTTGGTGACGTGGATGAACCTCCGCTCTTCAGTATGCCTTCCTATGTCATGGAAGTTTATGAAAATGCAAAGATTGGGACTGCTGTTGGCACAGTAACAGCAGAAGATCCTGACACTGCCAACAGTTTAGTAAGGTACAGTAAGTCCAAATTATACTGGATTGAATTCGACTTGCTAAAGGATTAATGAGATCTGGGATGTATGAAACTATGTCTTTTATTTCAGTACACAAAAGGAAACACAGGTCAGAACAGTGTCATGATCAGTCTGTACAGATTAGATTTAATACCGTAATCTTCAACCTTTTGCTGGTTTGCACAAAAATTGCCATCCAGCCATTGGTCTGATCAAACGTCTGTGGGCACTAGTTCCTGTAACATCACCTCTCCAAACAGCACACGGAACAAGGCCAGTATATGTTACCACATCATATAAAATCGTGCACTTCATTGGCCTGTCGCCAGTCAGTATCTTGACACTAGTTGTAAATCTGTTCAGGATCATAATGCTGTTTTTCCCCTCTCATGCCAGTATTATGCTGTTCCTCTGCACCCTTGCCGCACTTGTCCCAGGTGCTTGTGCAAGACAGGAACTGGTTTAGGTACACTGATGTTGCTAGGCGTATGCCATGTCATCTCCAACTGCCAGGTCTAGGGCAAAGAGAAGTGCTGAGAAGGAAGAACTCGCAGCATCATATACATAATTTGAAAACTAAATGAATATGTAACCTACTGGGAAGGAAATATTTCTATGATCCTCTTAATTAAATTAATTCTTAAAGTAAGTGTTCTCATTAAAAAGACAAAAAACAAAACTAAAGGAAGATTTCTGTGTTGCTGCTCTTGGCAGAATATATCCTATAATAACAGAACTGGCTTGGAAATAGGTCATGGTCTGAACTAAGGAACTGAAATCAAGCTGGACATACCCCCACAGCAAGATTGAAAAAGCACTAATGCCAAAAATATGCATATGGATATTAATTTGACTTATAAATTTAAGAGCGTTTGGATTTAACTTTGAATGCTCTGGTACTGGGGTTTTAATTCATTACTGGTTTAGAGTGAAGTTTTCAGTTACATGTATTCATTTTTAATAGGATCCAATGGCATTTTTAACTGGCTTCATTTGTGAGATGAGATACTTTCTATACTGACATATAGTGTGAGAATTTTGTAGAAGAACACATGAATGTCTCAAAGGTGGCAGTGGATTTAAAATGTTTCAGAAAAAATTCCTTCATGAATACATATTTGATGCCATTCCTCATTATGACATAATGGTATAGACTTCGTGGAAATCACATGAGTATATACTTGGGAAACAGTTTTTCTTAAGCTAATTGGGCATTTTTACTCTCTTGACTGAATTGAAATCTGCTGGGTACGTGTAATAGTATTGGTAAGATGAAACAATTTTTGCAGAACAATGAAAACATCAGGTTTTTACGGTTCTCTTGTGCTAATAGTCTAAGATTCAAAATGTTTAGTGTCAGACAATCAATATATACAATTTCTTAGTGGCAAGTTATTGCCTTTGAAAAATTACCCCCATGGTATTTGTGTCTGAATCATAACACAAATCAGAAAATTTTCTAAAAAAACCTGCCAAGCACCTGTAGCTATAATATTATCATTTCAAAACAACTGCTAACACAGTCAGACAGATTAGTTGCCATAGTAATTTGGGAGTAGGAAGGGCAAGTGCAGATTTGACTAGTTCCCCCATAATTCAATGGTCTGTGGCCCCTAGGAGTTTTATCTAGAAAGGGGTAAGACAGCCATGGTTAAAGGGATGCAGCAGCAGTTTGTACAAAGGCTGAAAAAGCCAGCCACATATCTTCGGGGTGAAACAGGTAATAATTTGGAGATAGTGGGATTGGAAGGAAAAATATTTCCAAATATTTTTATGTTTGTATTGGTCTCTTTTTACCAAACAGAAATTTGTAACCAGTGATTAAGGGTAGAATATTAAATATGCATATTATTCAAATAATTTAGGAGAAAAATTTTCCTTATCTTTGTCTATCCTTTTTTTTTCCCCTTCGATGTTTATTTTTGCATTGTTCCTTCTATGTCTCTCTGTTCCAATGGGGAAAAAAATAAAGTGCTAGCAAAATGTACCAAATCATGAAGCTTTGAAAGGAGCCAGCCCTCGGTTATGTCAGAGGGGTTTGGCAAGGGCAGTAGCAGCTCAGAAATCCTTGACACATCATTATATTGTGACCGGATCCACCCTCTAGCCAGGCTTTATCCATCTCTGTGGAACTGACAATGAATATCATTTGTGTGTGTGAGGACTTGTTAAGAAGATGCTGATCTTCTAAGGCCTGGATTAACACATTGGTGCATGGGACTCTCAAGAGACACCAGGCTGAGTTGGTGTGCCCTCAGGTTCTCCTTGAGCCTCCTCCTGTGGGAGGAGAAAGGCTGTTCTGGGAGCGGGCAACTATAACCTCCCCTTCCCTCACTTCATTTCACACACAAACACTGACACGGTGCAGAAGGGCTTTGTGTTGCTGGGAAAACGTGGGTTGGAAGTGGCGTGTGACCCAAGTGGGCCAGGCTGGCTGGGCTAAGCTGTTGCTCCGCTAGAGGCAGGGTCCAGCTCTATGTTCCACTAACAGCAGCGGGCAAAGGAGCGGCTCGGAGGAGGCTGTTTTTCTCAGGAGCGTGCACACAGTGTACTCATGTCCTTCCGTGCTGGTTTGCAAGAAAGGTCTCCGCTGTTTGTCTGAAACCCTGATGAGTCTGAAAGACAGTCTGAGGGTCGTGAGATCATGTCTTTCCTTCGTTTCCACACAATTCCTAGTTCGTTCAAAATAAAGATGGTGATTACAAAAATAAAACCAGGAAGATTCAATGTAACTTTCTTAGAAAGCACAGACCACACAGTCTCCAGTGATGGTAGCTTACAGATAGGACTTGCACAGCTGTTCTGTGTGGAGCAGTGGTGTAATGGAGTAACAGTTCCTCAGCCAAATGGCTCAGATACACCTCCAAATGCTGTGAGTCTGTAGGACAAGCTACAGAGCAGTGACTTTCTTAACAGTTTTTCCTAATCCACTTGTGCATCCTTTCCACTTTATAAGGACACTTATTCCTGTGTGTGCGACTGGTAAAGCATTAGACACACACATTTACAACCATATCACTTCTTTTTTGTCCAGCTGCTAAGAGAGATACAGCCCTGTGATTTGTTCACTGCCCTATTAAGTAACACTTTATTTTGGTGGCAGAAGTGATTCTTACAACCAGAATAATGGTTAGAGGAGTAGTTATGGTAATTAACAATGCTGCAGTGAAATCCTTTAAAAAATAAATAACAACCTCTATTGCTATCAGTAGAAAGGGGGCTGATTAGCTTTTTTCTCCTTATTTCCTCACTGCAATTTCGTCTCAGTGATTTCAGCTTGTTCCTGAGCTGAGCAGTCTTCAGAAGACACTGACTTGGTGCTAGTAATTGTACTACTGTTTTACTTTTTCAACCCAAGCAAAGTAACCTCTGTAATAACAAATGTAGCTATTAGAGGTTTCTTTTATTCAGACATTATCTGGTTGGCAATGTGGGCTGTTTTAAATGATTTATCTTTTTAACTTCAAATAGATAGAAATGCATTTTCAAACTTTTAAAAATGCTATGTTTTGAAATAAAGATTATTATTCTATTGAAATATGAAAATCAAACATAATTATAGACAACATAAAAAGAGAGATATTAATACTCCATCATGTATTAATTTTAAAGATAAGGATTTTTTTAAGTGGTTTGAAAATCAGCTATTTACTTAAAAAATGATGTTCTAAATCAAAGGAAAACATCCTGAATTGTAATTCATTCACAGGGATTACTGCCTTGTTGGAACATTTATGAGAAACTAAACCCCTTTCAATGCACTGCTTCCGTACCAAAATCTTCTTTTGCTTGAAAAGACCAGGATTAAGTCATGTCTTATCTGGTGCAAAAGCGTGTCTTGAAAGTTTCCCATACAATATGAAAGAAAACATGTCTATTAAATGCTCTAATTAGAGCTTTATTTTAGTATATTATTGATTTTAAATCTCTTCATACTTACTTAGAAATGATCTTTTTTCTTTGTGAACCCATACACAGAAGACTTCCATGGAGATTAGGGGTAAAAATGGCTTTTAATTGGGAAGTTGTATATGTGCATTGGGAGTAGCCCTAGGCTGCTAGTACTGCCTCAGGGCTGTGGTAGTGCCTGTTGAACCCCTGCCACCTTCCTGTAGGTGATTCTTGGGTGGTGGGTCCTTCGAGCCACAATGCATACTTCCAGTGATCCTTGGAGCTTTCTGACTGCATATGGTCTGGTTTCAGCTAAGTGGTTTTCAGAAAAATAGTGTTGCTGTTGTTCCCCAAGCCTCCTCCAAGTTAGTGATTCAGAAAAGATTAAAGGCATAGTTTTAAGACCATGATACTTCCTGAAAATCTGATATAATAGTGAAAATAGTTGCATGGTAAGGGTGAGTTCCCTCATCTTAACGTGATCCCTATTTGATACTGTCCTACAAGGAACTGAAAGTCTTTATTAACACTGTGCCCTGGTAAGTGTAGTTTTTAAGAAATAAGTCATGCTATTATAGAAATACTGTAACATCAGCTCACTCCTTTTACTGCTGCTGTGTAATCTTTGTCATGCAATGGTATCGGAGACAAACCACTGTTCTGAGCACTAACGACAGGGCCTCTGTCCCCTCTGGCCAGTTGCTACTCCCACTTCTTATGTTTGCCTTAGGTTGTTTGCATTTCTGGGCAGGAACGGTCTCTTCCCAGCTATTTAACAGAAGATTTCTGGTGAATGAGGTGTGGGTACTGATCAGCACTTTGCATGTGATGGTAGTGTCAAACAATAAGAAATATAAGCACCTTCCCTTTTCAGAATGATGTCTGTCATGGCTCGGTTAAAAATAACCTCATATTTTGTTGAATTCTTGGAAGGTTGACAAGGCTTTGTTATATTAATACACTGGAATTCAAATCATATTTGCGTTGGACACTAACCAGTCTTTAATCTACCTCACTATAATGAATTTTATTCTCTAAAACTGAAATTGATTTTCTATAGGAAACTGAAATAGTCTTAGTGCCTTCCTGATGTCACTAGTAAATGAAC